CTTTCGAGGTGTGCATTCAGTACTGAGAGACTCTCACTGTGTCTCCTTTCCCTGTGTGCATTCAGTACTGAGAGATTCTCACTGTGTCTCCTTTCCCGGTGTGTGTTCATTACCGAGAGACCCTCACTGTGTCTCTTTTCCCAGTGTGTATGTTCATTACTGAGAGACTTTCATTGTGTCTCCTTTCCCAGTGTGTGTTAATTACCGAGAGACTCTCACTGTGTCTCCTTTCCCAGTGTGTGTGCTCATTACTGAGAGACTCTCACTGTGTCTCCTTTCCCTGTGTGCATTCAGTACTGAGAGACTCTCACTGTGTCTCCTTTCCCAGTGTGTGTGTTCATTACCGAGAGACTCTCACTGTGTCTCCTGTCCTGCTGTGTGTTCATTGCTGACTGATTCTCTGTTGCAGTTTGTGCTGAGGTTGTCATTTGCCCCCTGCTGCTTACTAATAAAAATCTACTTCTGAAGAGACTCTTGAACTCTGTGAGTCGGGACGCCTGCAGGGAGCTAATTTGCTGTGCAGAATGAGCTCTATTGTAGTGTCGTGTTCTTCCCTGCACTGGGCTGCTGTCAGGGCTCTGGACTTGTGGCTGAAATGCTGTGGGTGCAGATCACATGGGCACACACACACGCACACGCATCTCAGATCGCTCACTTGTATAAACAGGCACAAGCGCAAGTCACTTTGAATAAAAACATCAGCCAAAATAATGTTAATGCTCTACTCTGAACCATGCCTGTGCTCGCTAGCTAGTAATTGAGAGGCAGTTCTTAACTTTTAACGGTTCATTAGGCTTTACTTACTGTAAGGTGTTTGCTGGAGCCTATTGTGTCATTGTACTGCCATACTGGGCTATGCTGTGCTCTCCTGGTGGAAATTCCAGTAAAAATGTCATGTTAGGTACTGGTGACAAGTATCATCCAGTTCAGCAGGTTTCCAAACCCAGGAAACCCGGTTTCTTACAGCATTGCTTGTAAAGATCACGAGATTGCCGGCATGGATACTGGCAGAAGGTAACTGGTGAACAGTTTAAACCAGTTAAAGTACCAATGAATACCAGTTCAGATCACTAGAAACCAGTTGCTAATTTCTGCAGGAACCAAATGTACGTTCCTCTTGGGATGTCTTCCTGGGACATTCTTCTTTACAGCTTCTTGACAACAGGAAGGGACACATTTTGGGGTTACACAGTCGGAGTGCGCTGAATATTGTTTGTGTAATGTCACAAAATGACGTAATAGCTCGAGCTGACTGTGAAATGCCCTTCCCAAAAGAGGTGAAAATCAGAAAGCAATGCTCTTTTTGCGTTTCGTTCCAGCTGTGCATTTGGGATAATGAGCTGTGAGGCAGGATTGGTTTTGTCTGTGTCAGATGTTTTGAGATTAAACTAATGACCCCCCTCTCTCTCTCTCTCTGTTCATTCCCAGGTCAGATGGGGACACGCCCAACCAGGGGAGGTCTGTAACTCTTTATTCCTTTTTTATCTTTAATCCACACATCAAATTCTCTGGGACTGAGGTCCGCTGGGCTTGTTTTCAAAGGGAAAAGGAGGGGAGGTGGAAAACACGTTGAGCAAATTGGTGCAGAAATAATGGATAAACCACCCGTTTTCAACAGTTGCATGAAAAATATTTTTTTTTATTAATTTTACTTGTGCTGGTTATCACATTGCGATCTGCTCTGATTTCTGTTGTGCAGTACTTGACTTCAGAAGCTTGGGACTGTCTGTGTTGATCTGTTTTTGATGCCCTGAGAAACTGCTTTGTAACGCTGCCAGAAGACTAAATAAGTCCGGTCCTTCATGGGCCTTACTTGCACAACACTCTTCCCAACTTGCTGATGCCCTAGCAGTTGCCTGGCAACGCGGTCCTCCTCCGAGTACACAACCCAGCTCCAGGCAGTGTCCAATCAGCGTGCGCACAGGTGTCACATGACCCCGCCAGTTCCGGTCAAACATGAAGGCGCAGGTTTGCGGGCTGGTGCTGGTCGCTCTCGGGAGTTTAGAGGCCGGGAAGATGTGATCCGGTTTCGTAGAGAATTAGAGCTGTGAAGATCAATGGCAGATTTTGTTTTGTTTTTTTTTTTTTTTTCCAATAGAGACCTCTCTGAGCCCGCTACGTCGTTGATCTATAAGCGATAGCTTGCTGACACAAACAGAAAAAAGTAGAAAAGTGCCGTCGTGGGGGGTGTTGTGTCGTGTACGTGCCCGTGAATTTACTCGGGCGAGCGGGGGTCTGTCGTGCGGGGGGGGGCGGCGGCGGCGAGCCCTTCGATGACGTCACGGGTAGCGTTGCTGCGGCTGCGCAGTGACCCTTGTGACCTCCGCAGACGGGACAGGCACTGACCGCTGCTGTGGTCACTGGCAGCACTGGGGTGACGGTCGTTCCTGTTACTGTCATCGTCCTTCCTGCAGTGAGGTGGCTGTTCCTCCTGGCGGAGGGGGTTGGAGGGTTATTGTGAGGGCCGTGGTCGCTATGGAAACTGTAAATCTTCCCCCCCTCTGGCTATTCCATCCAGTGAACCTCCCCCTCCCTCCCACACTCTCACCCCTGGGGGGGGCTCTTCTGTGGCTGAGCCCACTCCCAACACTATTCGCTTCCTGCTAAAACCTCTGGCAGCTCAGTGCCTTTGCGCCTGTGCCTGCTGGAGCTGCAGCTAAACACTTCAGCACTTTCACACTGCATCCAACATCACATGGTAACACAGTGCTGCCACAGCCCCAGTAAGCACTTGTTGGTAGGGGGTGGGTGTTTATAGTGTCTAGCTAATTATACAGCAGTTTCTCCTGGATTTCTGCTCTTGCTGGTGTCGCTACAGCAGCACGAGGGAATGGAGAGGCCGATTTGGAGTTTTCTAATGTCGCTGTTGGGCTAGAAAACCAGACATTTCACTGGTGACGCTGGGAACTACCCGGCAGAGGGACAGTTCGGGGTAGCCAGTCAGACCTGGCCGGCAGGTCACCGAGAGGACAACGGGAACACCCTGTGCGAGCACACAAGCACATGCAAACTCCACACGCACAGGTGGACTCAAGCCCTGGACTTGTGAGGCTGAAGTGCTCA